CAAAGAGTCGAATATTTATATTTATACCTATCAACGTACCTATCAATGATCAATTACAATAAAAAAAAACAAAATAAGATTCAAATTATGTTCGCCTCATTTGGTTTCTTTTCATACCGATTCTACTCTTCGAACCAAAAAAGTAATCAAAACAAATGAGTGATTTATCATTTTTAGTTTATTACAATACGTTATTCACTTACTGTATCGCACTACGCAAATTTCGGGAAAAACTTCATCAATAAAAGGATTAGAATCGATTAGAAAGTTTTCAGACTTTTTTTATTTTGGTAAATACGGGAAATTCATTTACTGAAATTCCACTAGTTGAAAGGAGTCTTATAAATTTATAAATCCATTTTTATTACCTTCATCAACACTCTATTACACGATAAAAATTTCTTATGCATGAAACATGCACAAAATATTTACCTCGAAATTCAAAATGGAAACAATATTGTATTGTAACACTGCTGAATGGATAAAATAACCTTGGCAGTGACAATAGCCTCATTTTTTAGTAATAAATAAAATATATAAACAAATGTATTAATAAACGAAAAATGATAAATCCTACATTTATTTTCATAAAATTTTTATTGAAAGGTCACAAAGACCAAATGAGGCGAACATAATTTGAAACTTGTTTTGATTTTTTTTATTGTAATTGGTCATTGATAGGTACGTTGATAGGTATACATATAAATATTCGACTCTTTGACTCATTAATTTAGAAGCGTCTTCGCATTCTTCAAGTTACTATATCATTTATTGAAAGCATTCAATATGAAGTTCGTTGTTTTGACTCTATTTTTAGTGTTAGTCTGTTCTTATCAAGCTCAAGCCGCTCCATTTTGGACCAACTCGATTCCGAATCCATTTCAATTACTGGTATGTTAATTTTTCTAAAAATCGTTACTCAAACATATCTAACATGATGAACGTTTTTACAGCACGGCGTTGTTAATGGCCTAGTACCAAAACAGCCTTCCCCACCAAAGAACCCAACAAATGAACCGGTAAGCAACATTTATTTTACTAAATTGGGCTATCATGGCAAAGCAAGCGATTCATTACTTTTTTACTATAATTTCTAATTCTAATCAGAGAATTTATTGATTTAATTTTTAGAATGTTGAATCACGCAGACCTCTCATTAACGATAGAGTATGGCCTCTAGGACAAGAACCCGAGGTTCTAGACGCTAAACGAAATGAACCGGTAAGAACATTCTTTTACTGCATTAGACTATTATGGCAATGCAAGCCAGTAATTACTTTTTTCTGCGATTTCTAATTCTAATCTGAGAATGTATTAATTTAATTTTTAGAATGTTGGATCACGCAGACCACTCATTAACGATAGAGTATGGCCTCTAGGACAAGAACCCGAGGTTCTAGGATAAATTAACAAAAGAAACAAACTCTAAAAATGAATATATATATTCTGATCGTCATAAAGTCAAAATGCCTGTTTCCATCGGAGGCACTAGGCAGCTGCAGTTTCAGATGTTTTAGGATTCTGCAGCTTTGGATCGAACCAAAACCAATCTTTATCAGAGCTGATTATTCATTTTTATTCTTCACCAAAAACAATGACTCCAACAATATTTTAATCGATGGCAGCATCAACAATCTTATTTAATATTAAATAATAATTTTAAAAAACGACAGATACGTAATTTACAGTTTATTTCAAATAAATATTAATAATCAAGAACATCGTTTTAAAATTTTTCCCTCCAAGCATCTCGATTATGTAAATATTTGAACCTTCTGAAGATTCTCCAAAATTGCTGAATGCCAGGTGGTTATGATGTACTCCTAAGAATAAATCTTCGAACTGCATATCACTTGAATCATATATGAATTTTTTTTCACTTTAAAAAAACTTTTAGTACATACATTTTCGTCTGAGAGTTGAGGCGAAAAAATCAGAAAATAAATTTTGATGAAAAAAAAAATTTTAGCTCTAAACTTACAATGTCATTAGATTATCAGAGGGAAATTTAAACTTCAGTGTAGTTTTAAAATTTGTCTTAAATTTTTTCAGTTCATTTTCTAGAGGTTTAAATATTTATTCAGTATTTTTACACAAAAACATAATCAAAAGTATTTCTTTGTTTAAATGAAAACGCCTTTTTCCCCAAATTGACTCTAGCATTCTATTTTTTATGCAAAAGTACGTATGAAATTGTTTTGTCAACATAGGTCAAAACAAAGAAAGCAATCTACTAGGGTAGTTGGACCAATCAATGACCGGGTACCAGTGAATGATCATTTTGAAAAATATGCTATGAAAAACAATTAAAAATATATTTGTATCGACGTTATTCCACTTTTCAGCGAACGACGAATCTCGTTATACATGTTCGATCATCATATAACAAGAAAAAAGTATAATTATTGCATATCTAAAAGTGGTCGAAAACGGTCAATCACTGGTCTAAGTACCTAATATTGATTGTAATTTTGAGAGAGATTTATCTAAGATTTAGAACCACGTTTTAAAACATTAAGAATTCATCGGCACCGCTTTCTTCCACTGGGTGGACTTGGTAAGCAAGGTTTTCTTAAAGGTTTTTTTCGGTTGTTTTTTAAGGGAATATTTGAACATGGATGCAAAACCCGTCCGGGTCTACTGTATACCAAGCAATATAGCGCGCAGTGTGTCAGCCCGTGTAGCACACAGCACACAGCGGAGCTTGCAACCCTGCTATATACATCTATGTATAAAACATCGGTGCGAGGGAAGGTGTTGAGAGCGTTCGAGAGTGCGTTGGAAGTGACAGCTTTCGAGTCGCTCTTATATACTAGGCACTATACCGGTCGCGAGCGCGCGCCACCGTAACTGCTAGAAATTTAGTGGCCGAACGCGAGAGAGAGATCGAGAGAGTAGAGTAGAGAGAGCGAGAGCGAGAAGCGGATAGTAAAGGGTAAACGAACGAATAGCGCTTGACAATGATTAATTGGAAGGAATAGAGCTGGCTTGGGCACGCGCGCTTGTACCTACCACCAGGCCAACACGCCTACGTATATAGCTGCTGCTCTGCAGCCGTCGTGTGCCGGGGGGGAGGCGCGTGTGGAAGATCATGATTGCGACCACTGTTCTCTCGCACCCACACTCGGCTGTTATATACATGCGCGCTTATAATACAATTTATTGTTTCTCCTTTCTCCTCGGTTTGTTGCTGATTCGTGGCCGATGCGACGATCGATTTTGCGTATTACACGCGCTATATATACCGATCGTTGAGCTTTTTTTTTTGTACCCGGAATTCGCCTGGATATATCGGTCTCTTTACGCAAAGCAATAACTCGAATTGTATCGTATATGCACGTACGATACAGTCTATGCAGCGAGCGAGCGAGCGAGCGAGTATTAACAATCGCTTTGATAGAGCGTTAAATCATGAATGCAAACTTGCAAGCTCTCGCGCGCGCACCGCCTATATCTGTATTATTTCACGAAGCTCCATATATAGTCGTCGAGTCGCAGCAAAGTTCGTGCCACCGAGCGACGATCGCGCTGCTACATACATACATGCATGCGTACTTTGTAAGTACACGTAGATCTATATGTGGCAGCTATTCCTTACAGCCTTGAGGGAATGTACATACCTAATGTATAATATAGCTATATGAGTATATGTGTGCGAGCGAGTGAGCGACACAGACAGAGAGCGAGGAAGAGAAAAGGGAGTTAAGGTAATGAATCCATGCGTCTTGTAGTTCGAAGACGCGTTACTCTACCTCGCTCGCTTTGTCTCCTCTTGCTCTCTCTCTCTCTCTCTATCTCTGGCTTGCCCGTTTAACATACACGGCATATAGTGACTCCGCGTATTTCATCTCTGTCGTCTAATACACATATAACCGTGTACGTGTACGTACAAATTCCTCGAGGGTATTTCGCGAGTGTGTGTGTATTATGGAGTTATGTACTTCGATTCCCTCGCGAGTCTAATGGACCAAACTTCGGTAGCGAGCATTGACACGCATATCTTGGAAACGAGCTGCTATGACAATTGCTAAAAGGAAGACGCGTCCGCGCGTGCACGAATGAACGAATCGACTTTAACCCCCTGATAGACTATAACGCGTTCGATAACTGCATAAACACGCCGCGCATGTTGAGTTTCAAGCTAATCGAGTATTGAAAGAACTATTTAATTGAAATTTTTTTTTTTTTTTTCATCAAAATTTCAACAGTTTTATTTTTATTTTTCAATCGACTAAGATTCAATTATTAGCTGTAATAGCAGCAGTACGACTACTAGTACTTTTTTCATAATGTAGAACATGCACGTAACTAAAGAAATAAGATCAGCCAATATATGAAATGTTCTAAATATATACTAATTGAACATTTTTTTGACACTTGCGAATTCGTGGTACGCCCTCTATGATAAAATCAAAAAGCTCGTAATCAAGTATGACACCGCCGATTACGTTAAATCTTTAGTGAAAACCAAAAAAAAAACACAATGACAGAATATTCAACTCATTTGTCGAATATTTAACCAATTTTAAATTACGTCTGTAAAAAAGAACGCGTTTGTTCAAAATTTTGTTCCAAAATTATAACATTTCTCACCATGGTGGCACATTTGAATCGAATTAAAACTCCGGATCTGATGACATACAGACTTATACTAAAAGTTAGCGTCGATGAAATATTTTTGATCGAAATGTATTCGACGCATATGATAACTCTGAACCACGAAGTATGTACTTAATTAAAATTCTGTCAAAAAGATTTTTCGAAGCAAGATAAAATTTTCATTCGGTACAAATAACATTCAGTTCACCGATTAATTTTTAAAACTCCGTTTTAGGGATACATAACTACCTGTCATCAAATAATTTGAAAAAGTCTTAAAATGTTTAAATGTTTACATAGCTAATTATACTGGAGAGTAAATTTGTAAGACGACGATCTTGATTATTAATATTTATTTTAAATTAAATATAAAGTACATTTTAATATACATTTTTAATTATTTATTTTGAATTAGGATTAATGATGCTGCCATAGAATAAAATAGATTTGGTATCATTATTTCTAATGAAGAATAAAAATGGATGATCAGCTTTGACAACTTGTGGTCCCAAGTCTCGTAAGGTCACACCACCTGCAACTGCAGCTGCTTCAGTGCCTTCTTCGGATACAGATATTTTGACTTTTTGAATGATTTGATCAAAATATACATGCATATTTTTCCGGTCTTGATTTATTCTCATTGTATCAATGGATAATTCCCACCTTTCGCTAGATGTTAAAAAGGTCAAATCAGCTCTTTCTGGGTCAGTCAACGATCTGAGACCCATATTATTCAGAGCTTTCGTAAAGTCTAGATCACTAGAGAGATCCATTTTTGGAAGGAAAATTTTCAACTTTGTTTCTTGCATATTTCCGATTAATTTATCGATAATGTCGGGTGTTAATTTATCTTTCATATTTTTTAGAGCAACCGTTCCTTTATCTTTTGGTATCACAACATACATGGAAACCTTGAAAAAAATAAAAATATTATTTTTCTAATATTGCCGCCATTATTTCAATTATTATTTCAAAATACCTGTGAACCCTCGTATGGGAGAGAAATTATATCCAATTTAAGATTCCAATCTGAGTAATACTTAAATTCCCCTTCGCGAGACATCATATTAACAGTAATTTGATTGTTATTGATGAAAAATCTGGACCTGAGATACAACAATAGAAGTTTTTTAAGAAAGTATAGCATATTGATAATTTTTCATTTAACAAAAAATTCTTACTTTGCAGCACGATCAAAACGCTTTTCCCAATCGCCTTTGAAGTATAAAGCCGATGCAATGATAGCTTTAGTATCCAACCTTGGTGGGCCATCTAAAATCGAAGGAATCAGACCTCGTGTTTCACTTTTCACCCAATTATTGATAATTTTTTGAGCTCCATTTTGAAAATCAACAATCTCCAAATGAGTTTTATAAAAGTCCTCGCTCCTTGCAGAAAAAGTTGTGCCAAAAGTGTAGTTATTGTTCATCTAAAAATGTCCACGATGATTATTACTATTTTTAAGCTATGCGTGTATAAGCTAAATTACCGCTAAGAACACTCCTGTGCCATAGTTAACTTTGGGCGCTCCAGGTTTATTACTATAAAACGTTTTCTCAATAAGTTTCCCGAAATTTTCATGAAAATTTTTCTCTGAGTTTACGAAGATCTTCCTGTCCATATTAAAAATGTTGCTGATTTCATCAAAAGTTTGCCCACTAGACGCCAAAAGAATATTCGCAAGTAACATTTGCAAACTCAGAGGTGAGAAAACAAGGTTTTGATTGGGATATTGACTTCTCATTATTTTATCAAGATTCAAAGTCAATTGCGTTGTTCCTTTTGACATTTTGTCTTGAAACTAAAATTGTACAGTTCGTGAGATAATTTATTATTTTAGTTTAAATTATAGTTATCTGTATGGCTTACGTCTTTAAGTGGTACTAGGAATGTATGAAAGAATGGTGGAAGTTTTTTACGTGATCCAACATTCTGAAAATCAAATTAATGAGGTATTTGATTAGAATTGAAAATTACAAAAAGGTAGTTACTGCGTTGGGTAGTTGATTCGCATAATACCGATTTTAGTATCTGTAAAAAAGTTTTTTACCGTTTGAAATGTTGGGTTCCTTGGTTGGGGCAACGGTTTTGGTCCTGGATAATAGTTCTGTAACAAAGTTCAATACAGACCATGTTCATGAGCAAAAATTTGTCGAAAAATTGACGTACCTGAAATCTACTTTGCCGCTGAATTTCTTCAAATTCATCTGGAAATACAATATCTTGAGCTTGACAAAAATAGAATAGCACTAAAAATAGTGCTAAAACAGAAAACTTCATATTGAATGTTTTCAATAGATGATGTATCTTAATATTTTGTTCTAATAATAAAATTAAGCTCCGTAAAGAAGAACGCGAAGATGCTTGTGAATAAACGAGTCAACGATTGGATGAATTCGTAAAACATACGTTCGTATTTATACCTATGAATATACCTATGAATGATATAAAACAAAATTAAAAATAACATTTGAATTATGTTCGCCTCATTTGGTTTTTGTTTACAAACCGATTCGGCTCTTTTTATAAAAAATCTATTCAAAATAAACAATTGATTCATCATTTTGTGTTTAATATCACATTTCATTTACTTACTGTATCGCATTATACGAATTTTTGCTTTTCGCCAAACGTCAACAACATTTTCAAAATGCATCATACAATTGTCATTGTCTTATTCGATTTTGGAAATTATGTTGTTTTTTTTTTACGTATTGTGCATTCATCCAAATAATTTTCCAGTTGAAAGCTTATCTCGCGGTTATATTTACAAAATCAATAAATCTATTGTTAAAACCAAGGTTATTGTGCCCATTCAACAATGTTACAATTAAATATTGTCAAAATTTTGATTTTCGCTGTAAATATATTTAATCAAAACATTTTTTAAGTTGCTGCAACTTTACGTGCTATCAGAGAAAGTTCATACTGATCAGCGGTAAAAAAATCACCCCAATGCAGAAAGGTATCGTTTTAAATTCAAGAGAAAAAAGGTTTGTTTTTTGGCCTCTTGAGTTTAAAACAATATCTTTCATTGAAGCGACGATATTGTTGCTTCAATGGTTGGTCACTTCACCGATATCTCTGATCAGAAACTCTTATTAAAGCCGCATATGAACGTTAACATATGTATTATATGATGTAGTACATGCGAAACAATCAGGTTTATCGGCTTTTAAAGTCCCTTGGGCTATATTCTCTCGCTTTCTCTTTGTCCGAGCTTCATGTAGATTATTACTATCCGCTGAAGACTACCGAATAGACTAACAGTAGAGAATGAATCAAGATATCTGTTTGCATGGAAAGAAGGTAATCACACACACGAGATCGACATCCACATGAATTAGTCAAAATTTTTCTCATATGCGTAAATCTCAAGGGTTGTTCACAATTGTCGAGTTATTCCAGTGTCAGATGCGTTTTGATTCATAAAAATCAGAATAAATCAGTCCTCGGCCTCGTTCTTGAGGCGCATTGCTTACGCAGAGCGTGGTGCATGATTAGATAAACGCGCACACGCTATGTTTCCAAGCTTTTTCCGTACTCGCATATCGTCCACGAACTTGGGCCCTCATGAATATCTGCATTCTGCACGTGTGTCGAGCGTGAACGCGAGGGCAAATTCAAATTCCGGGATATCGTATACGCTTTATTTTACTCTGGAGCCGTGTGCCTCGCTTCGCAATGTATTGCTTCGGGCCAATGCATTATTATGCACTAAAAGTTTTACGAGCTGCTGCTGCTGCTGCTGCTTCTGCTTATCTCCCGGCTCGAAGCGATAGAGCATTAGCGTTGCCGGGTAATAGTTATACGCGCGGTCAACCACTGGTTCATGTATATCTCGAGCTTTTTGTCGAAAATTTTCCCGATTTGCCACTATAACTCGCGTAGAGTTCATAGATTACCTAATCTCTCCTTTTTTCGAGTCGAGATAATTAATTCTACAGTTGTGGATCAAAGAAAATTGATACATTTGAGCAAGGCGCATTTGAGCGAGAATCTGTCGAGTAAGGATATTAAAGGCACTGCATTATAAGCTTTGAGTTTTCCTCGACGAGTCTAAAGGATCACGACCGCGAGGAATGAGCAATTTGTTAACGACGACACAGCGAGAATAGAGCTATGTTGCTATTCACGTTTGATATCCAATTACGCCTAAGTAAACAAAGCAGAATCCGCGGCATCGATGTGGGAGTTAACGAGACGTGATTATGTGCAGACAGCCACGGGCGCGCGCTCGCGCGCGTAGGATCAAAGACTCTCAAGACAATCCGTCCCCAGGTATATCCAGGTATAATAATACGAGTAAACGAGAAAGCTCGAGCTGGGTCGTTGTACCTTCCGAAAAAAGCTGGCGCACTCGCTCGCGTTAAGCGATGTTAATATGAATTTTTCGATCGCGATCGCGACTGCGTGTACGGGGAATCTCGGATCGCAGACGCGGTACTTAGAACCGAGGCGCGCTGGGCGTCATAAAACGTGTTAATTGCAGAAAATCAGACTCCACTGCGCTCCGCCGCTTATTTGAACTGGCACGCAAGTGGAAAAGTTTCATGTGCCACTCGAGTCGGTGCGCCGCTCCCTCGCGCGCGCGCGCGCGCTCCATAATATATACACAAACTGGAGTGACAACAAGATAGAAAGCAGATTAGCATTTACGCTCTCTGTCTGTCTCGGTGGCGCTTGTACAATATATACATATATCCCTAAAACTCGCGCTCGCTGCACGTAAAATGTGCAATGTAACGTTCGGCCAAGTTTCGAGCGTCATAACGCCAGCGGAATCAGAGTAGAGAGAGAGAGTGATAAAACTGACGCGCTGAATAACTTGAACCGATTACGATGTCATAAATGACTTTGTGAAACATTTTCCTCAGTTTAGCGCGCACGACGTGTAAAGTGTCGCAGCAACTTAGGTACGATGCGTATATTATATTTATATATCGCGCGTCACTAATCCTGCGAGCTTAGAGAATGATGCGCGTTGGTGCACGCAGCGAAAAGCTCGTGTGAATAATTTTTTAAATCGATCGCAGCAATTTTTAGAATTGAGATTTTAACGATTGTCCAGATTTCTTATCTTTCCTCTCGAGTAACTGTGGTGTAAATAAAGTATGTTGCACGAATTCGTGAAAGGAGACGATTAATGGAACTTTTGGTCGGACTCATAGACGACTGCCGCTGCGTAGAGAACGTAAAATATTTTTAAGTGCTCAGTAAAGGCGCGAAAAATATTTTAGCTAAAATTTGCGAACCGCGTAGCAGCTGCATTGAATTAATTTTTACCGCTCAGTTTCGAAATAATAATGTCTGTATTAGTAAGGCAGCGGTATTTAAAAAGTCCCTTTCCCAAAACTGTACTTCTCGTTCATCTAAATGTGCGTATGCGAAGTGACTTGAACCACAACTAGTTTCTGTTGTATACAGTTCACGTGTGTTTGAAGATTTAGGCACATTTTAGCAAGGATGGCAGCAGGAGGGCTTACTTACATGCGCTTTTATAAGCAAAACAACGCGAGAATGAACGTAGCTAACACTCTAGTATTTCTCTGGGAAAAATCCGAGTAGATTGGTTGAAATGGAAATTTAAATGCATTAACCACTTTATGTTTCGCGAACTTGATCGCGCAATTCGCAGTATACAATTAAGAGTTATAACTAATACAATTCGCAGTGTCGGTCTCCCTTCAATCAAAAATCATGGACTGGCAGATCAAAAAAAGAGTTGTACCCGCGATAACTTTCATTTACCACTCACGCAATTCAAAGAACATTAACATAATATTTTGGATTAATAAAAGTACTAAAAAAAAGAAAAATAATTATAAGAGCTTTCAAAGAAATTAAGAATAGTATATTATGATACGTGTGACTTAAGCAGGCCATTATTGCACGGCACGGTTAGCACCCGAGCGAAGCGAGGGTGCTAGTGCCGTGTTAATAATGGGCTACTTGAGTCATAAGTATCATACGTTTTTTTATAGCACTGTGCTAAATTCACGTTTAGGCCCCCTTTGGCGAGATATAAGGTGCTCATAATAGCGTCGCGGTGTGAGGTTAGCGCACGAGCGTAGCGAGTGCGATAGGCACGCCGCGGTGCAATAATGAGCAGCTTAAGTCACGGCAAAGCGTGCCTTAAACGTGAACTTTAGCCACGCAGTGCTATAAAAATTTTTAGTTTTGAATGAAGTGGATTTTTTCGGTAAGGATGCATCGTTATTACTGATCACTTTTCTTTTAGCAGCTCTTTTATCTCCTTTTTCTTAAATTTTTTCACTAGTCTATGTTTGATCAATTCATGATCGCAATATTATTACGTGAGATTTATCAAAAATCCAGTTACAAAAACTCTCGGCTGATTGTAGTTAAAACAGCTTACAGGTAACCTATGGATAAAACAAAATACCATCATAGTTTATAGTACGTAAAATTAACGTAAAACACAATCAATTCGGCACAATTTTTATTCAAATTCTAGGAAACATCTGTATAATTATCTATCTATACATATTTTAAATTTACAATTTCTAGCAATTGTCATTTTTTTAATCTTTGCAACCTTCGTGCATTTTCCTTTGGTGTGTGACCAGCAACTGTTTTTATCGCATATGCGTAATTTTTATCATCTTTGTGGACTGTCCTTTGGTGCCTAATCAAATTCCCCTAGTGTCCAAATTTTTTCTCGCACTTGTCGCACGCGTAATCTTTGCGACTTTCATGAACTAATCTTGAATGCAAGAGCAAACAACTTTTATATCCGAATTTCTTCTCACACTTGTCGCACGCGAAATCTTTGCGACTTTCGTGGACTGTCCTTAGGTGTTTGAGCAAATTTTCTTTTAGTCCGAATTTTTTTTCGCAATTTTCGCATACGAAATCTTTACGACTTTCGTGTACTGTCTTTTGGTGTCTTCTGAAATTGCTGTTATCCCCAAATTTTTTCTCGCACATGTCACATGCGTAATCTTTGCGACCTTCGTGGATTGCCTTTTGGTGTCTACATAAAGAACTTCGGGTAAACGGCGGGAGTAACTATGACTCTGAGGAGGGCGTAATTGCACTCAGGCTAGTTACTTATCCCGATACCTCGACACGTTTACCCTTAAAACGTCGGCCTGGTATTCGATCTCAGTCTTAGGCTTGGCGGTACCCCTGGTCGCCTTGTACGGAGTGAGTAAAGTTTCGTACGGTCGGCGTAACTGCAGAGCGAGGTAGGAGATTTTGATTTCCGTCCCGGAACCGAACGGGAGCTATACAGAAACGCGTCTGTCAATGGCAAATTCGGTACCTCGGGATAGAGTGGTGCCCTGGCGTGGACAGCTACACGCCACGCTCTATGAATGGTGTTGGACTCGAGGGGGCAGGCGGTTTCGCAGTAGGACAGTTTCGGTCTCGTATTCAGGGAATGCGTGCATGTCCTTGCGATCCGGTGGAAATCCGGGCCGTGGTCTGGCGGTAACGCGCCCGTATGGGAATCACGCGTTCCGGACTGCGGTGGGTAGCCGAAGACGCCGAAATGTCAGTCACTGGTATGGGGCGGTTGAGGTTCCGAAGCAATGAGCTGAGTTCATTGCCTGGGGTGGCTAGGCAAGTACGGGTGGACTTGGGCACCCTAGCCCGGATGCCCTGTGATCTCTATGTGAGAAGGCGAGCTCAGTGATCATTTTGGCGAGTGGCCGTCACGAAGATCGAACGCTCCTACACCATGGATTGCCTGTGGGAGGTGAAATCCAAGCACCAATCGCGGGTGGCACAGTGTCAATGAAGCGTCGGGCTTGGACCCTGTTGAGAGTCGACTAGGCCAAAGTTTCCGAACAACCCCGGCCGAAGTGATGCGATGAAGCACGGCCTTGACTAGTAGCAGAGCTCTGGTACAGNGCCCCCCCCCTTTCAATCCCCCCCCGTTCGGTCGTACCTCTGACTCTCGTAAGTGTCTACATAAAGAACTTCGATTCCCAAATTTTTTTTCGCAATTGTCACAAGAGTAATATTTACAATTATCATGGACTGTATTTTGGTGCTTGATCAAATCTGATTTTAGTCCAAATTTTTTCTCGCAATGGTCGCATGGAAAATCTTTGCGTATTTGGTGTTCTGATATTTGGTGTCTACTAAAATGACTTCGAAACTCAAATTTCTTCTCGCACTTGTCGCACGCGTAATTTTTCTGTTCATTGTGAATCGTATCTCGGTGTGCTATCATACTTGATTTTTTATCGTCCAAAACAGCAATGTCTTGTTCACTCAAATTATTTTCTGAGACATCTTCCATGGGTTTCTTTTCACTCTTATCCATTTTGATGCCTAAATTAAACGATGGTTTCTTTTGAGTAGTGTCACGGAAATAGAATAAATGAAATTTATCTTCTCGTATTACGGGTTGTTTCATTGGGAAAGTCAACATTCGAACTAATTTGACTTTACTATAAACGTGATCAGTATTTCGAGGGACGATGTCAAAATCATTTATGATCATATTGTTTATAATTAAATCTCCGATTTATCTGTTAATACATTTTGTTTACAATATTATTTGAACCAGCTTGAAATTTAAACTTGCCACCAATTTTTCCGGAGAATTTTTTTGGCTTGATAAAACTAAGTACTTTCCAAAAAATTCCTTGTGAAATAGAGCAATATCATAAAAAGTTGTAATATTCATTCCAAAATTTGCCGCCCACTCCATGGAGTGATTGGCGTGCTCCATAAGCCACCACTGGGCACATGTGCCGTTTCGTGGCGAAAGATGTTGTAAACAAAAATTTAGCGTGAACAGTTGTCTTTTAAAAAATATTGAGCTTGCATCAGTTTTAAGTTTTAGGGTAGTTTAACAAACTAGTCATGCGTGCTTATTTTTTTTCGTAAAAGCCAAATGATTGGTTTTTTTCGACAGATCGTTTTGTTTCTTGCATTTGAAATCTTTGTGTCGTATCTAAGTGTTGTAGAATAATTTTTTTCTCATTTTCATGAAGAAGATTGAATAACGTGTGTGAATGTTATTGTGAAGACTGAAGAGCATGATCTTCAAGACAGACATTAGATTGTATTGAAATAAGCTGGATGTGTTGATCAGTTATTTCACTCAATTATTATATTCAAAAAAATTTTTTTTTATTATTTTTCTTCTTTTCGAATAGTTGAAGTAATTATTGGAATATTCGCAATAATTAAGAATTGAGAGTAGTTTAACTATGGTCGAAAACCAATAACGTATAAGGATTCGTAAATTTATTTTAAAATTTATGTGCTTAAAATGAAAAGATTTTCTGTTATTTGGTTTTTCTGCCAATCCTAAAGAATTTTTTTCGAAATTTATGAAGTAACTTCGAAGAAAAACAGTTAAGCTATACATTCGAGAGTTCCTATAAAAATACTAGTATCGTGGTAAAATGTATAGTATAGTATGGAATTTTACGGTAGAGGGGGAATGAATCACGATGGAGATATCACAAACGCGGTGTCTTCTCGCGAACAAACGAGTAATGCGTTCAGTCGTTAACGAAGAGTTAAATTTCTGCAGTAAACAAGTCGAGATTGGCTGCTCGAGGCACATAACCTCGAATATTTTCTTAGCGTGTATCGCAAAAATTCATTGTGAAAATACAATTCTAAACAAACGAGTGATGGAAAACAACGAGGACACAGTTAGGTATAATATTTTTGCGCATGCCACGATATTTTTTTACGCAATCACCTCATCAAACTTAATAATTTTTAAGCGTGAAGGAAGAGCATAATTGTACTAGGCCAGATGAAGGTGATAATTATATTCTCAATTTAGTCAACTCATGCGATAACGAAATTTTAGCAACAAATATGTTTTACAAACCATCGGTGAGTTCAATGATTTGAATTGTGTTCAAATTTCCTGCTATGAAAAAACTATTGCTCAATTTTAATTTTAGGTATATCATACAGATGAGGTTATGAAATCACAGAAAAAATTAGATGAAAAAATATTCATCGATTATGAGTGCAAAGATGTTAAACCTGAATTGAAGTATTTATCGACAACCATTTTCAAAACTGAGTATGAAAATGATCCATCAATTGTGAAAAAAGAAAATGAAAATCAGACCAATTGCAAGAGTGAAAAAAATCTAATGATTTTGATAAAGAAAGATTTCAATTATCTTAATAAATGTCACTTTAAAGTAAATCCAAAATTAAAAATTGATGGATATAAGGTGGTTAAAATATGTAGGAAAAAAAATTTGGCTAAATTATCTTATGAGGGCAAAATGATGAGTCAAAAAACTTTCAAAGCAAAAACCAGTTTCGATTCACATATTAATTCGATACATAAAGGCATTAGACCATATGAAGGCGAGATATGTCACAAATCGTTTGGACCAAAATGTGACCTCAAATGTCACGTTAATACCATTCATGATCATATCAGACCATTTGAGTGTGGAATTTGTTTCAAATCATTTGGAAATAAAGGTAACCTTAATGAACACATAAATGCAGTACATGATCGTAAGAAACCCTTCGAATGTGAAATTTGTCACAAATCATTTGGATACAAGGGTAATCTCAAGAGACACATTAATGAAGTACATAATCGTATCAAAAGCTACGAATGTGAAATTTGTCACAAATCGTTTGGACACCAGGGTAATCTAAAACAGCACATCGAAGTACATAATCATAGCAAACCCTTCGAGTGTGATATTTGCCATCAATCATTTGGACAAAAAAGTGACCTCAAACGTCACGTTAATGCAGTACATGATCGTAGCAAATCCTTCGAATGTGATATTTGTCACAAATCGTTTAGAGAAAAAGGTAACTTTAATAAACACATAAATACAGTGCATTATTGTAAGAAACCCTTCGAATGTGAAATTTGTCACAAATTATTTGGACTCAAACATCACCTCGAATATCACATGAATACAGTACATAATGGAACCCAAGAATTCGAATGTGAAATTTGCCATAAATCATTTGGACAAAAATGTGACCTCAAACGTCACGTTAATGTAGTACATGATCGTAGCAAATCCTTCGCATGTGATATTTGTCACAAATCGTTTGGACTAAAGTGTAATCTCAAAACTCACATAAGTGCAGTTCATGATCGAAGCAAACCCTTCGAATGTGACATCTGTCACAAATCATTTGGCAGCAAAGGTCACCTTCAGCGTCACATAGATATAGTACAACATTGGTAGCAAACCTTTGAATGTGAAATTTGCCATAATTCATTTGGACAAAAAAGTGACCTCCAACGTCACGTCATGATTCTAGCAAATCCTTCGAATGTAATATTTGTCTCAAATTGTTTGGACAAAAAGTCCACCTCAACAAACACATAAGTACGGTACATGATCAGAGCAAACTCTTTGTGTGTGATATTTGTCATAAGTCATACGGACGCAAGGATACCCTGAAAACTCACATAAATGTAGTACATCATTGTAGCAAAACCTTTGAACGTGATATTTGTCACAAATCATTTGGTCGCAAGGGTGATCTTAAAGTTCACATAATTACAGTACGCAATCGTATCAAACCCTTTGAATGTGAGATTTGCCATGAATCATTTGGACTTAAACATCACCTCGAAGATCACTTGAATATGGTACACGAATATAGTACATCGGAGCAAACCATTTAATGTGCGAATCGTTCCTAGACCTTTAAACACAATATAGTTTCACTCGCACAAGTACGTTATGTCCTTTGAAAAAATCTTTTATACTAATGTCTATTAATTTTTTGAAAGAGAATAAAAGAATGCAAACTACACTCGGCAACAAAATTATCGCAACAAAAAAATTCATCGAAATTTTGTCGATTTTCAAATGCTTCTATCTTGGGCTAGATTTATCGTATCGACACGCTTTTTTTTTTAATTTCTTGGAAATTTTGTTCTCTTTAAATCCATATAAATTAAGATAAGATTTGAGTTGATGTGGAGTTACCAGTAGTATTTGAGCGTGACCCTAAAAATTACTGAAAAAAAATGACTGTTTGAACGTGTACCAGTACCGCAGTGATTTTTTTATCGAAATCTAACATACACCATCGCAAAGTGCTCTTTTTAACGAGTAATTTAAAAAAAAAAGGACCTCTCTACGATTTTTCTAACGCCCTGTAGGTCGATTTGAAGGTACGGTTTATGTACGCAAAATGCCCAGAAAATCGTCTTGATTTCAGCTAAACGGGGGATTTTACGTACTTTAAATGGTATCTTCAAATCGACCTACAGGGCGTTAAAAAAATCGTAGAGAGGTCCTTTTTTTTTTAAATTACTCGTTAAAAAGAGCACTTTGCGATGGTGTATGTTAGATTTCGATAAAAAAATCACTGCGGTACTGGTACACGTTCAAACAGTCATTTTTTTTCAGTAATTTTTAGGGTCACGCTCAAATACTACTGGTAACTCAACATTAACTCAAATCTTATCTTAATTTATATGGATTTAAAGAGGACAAAATTTCCAAGAAATTAAAAAAAAAAGCGTGTCGATACGATAAATCTAGCCAAAGATAGAAGCATTTGAAAATCGACAAAATTTCGATGAATTTTTTTGTTGCGATAATTTTGTTGCCGAGTGTATTTATAATTTTCTTGCAATCACGAAAAACCTTTACTTTTTTCCATTAACTTAAAATAAATAATATATTCTAAGTACTCATTTCGTATCAATATGTTTGTAAAAAATCTTTTTTATGAACTTTTTGATGATTGAACAACGGAAAGCTTCAATAATTTAGGATTATTTCTTGTATATTATTATATGATTTTCTGTGAAATAAAATGACCAAATAATTTTTTCACTGTTGGCATAAAGGGCTTTTTTTGATTTCATAAATTTCCCATCTTCTAAAGTATCAACATTCGCTGTACCTATGTCTAGGATTGGATCAGTTTCACCTGAAGTACTTTCTAAAGACTCGTACTTCTGATCGATCTCAAATTCATATTCTGGTGAATCGAATGCCACAGGCAGCCGCATTTATCGGTCGGTCATTTTCGACTTAAAATGGCGCAAATTCTCTTGCATCAGTCTTACTTGAAGGCGTTCCCAGAGTTCTAAATGTTCGATGCTATGAAATATATATATTGATCGGATTAGCAGATTTGTCTCGCCCTATCTGGACCAAAATTGAAGTAGTTTGCTTCTGATATCAGGCAATCTTATTGGAGTTATCGGTTTACCCAGTTATAGAGAGAAGGAAAGAGAGAAAGAGAGAGAGAGAGAGAGAGAGAGAGTACAAAGAGGAAGAGTGCACATGCCAGCACAGAGCTTAAGTTCCTCCGAAAATTTACGATTTTTAGCTCTTTATTGCTTCGCTGGCCCGGCTACATAATATATAATACATAATACATTATGTACACTGCAGCGGCAGCATAGCGCGCGATATCTTTTTTGCCTATGCTGAGGTAGCTCCGTACTCCGCCGGCTTCAGACTTTCTGCACACGATAATAATTTTGGCCAATAAATATTACCTTTCTGGCTTAACTATTTATCACTTATATCTTTAAAATTAAAAACTTGCTCTAGAGTTTATATTTTTTTTTCAATAAAGGATTTCATCTTCAAGAGAGAATTTATAGCAGATCCTATTAAAAGAGTGACACGTGATAATTGTCTCTTCTCTTTTTGAAAAGGGAGGCGGGAAAACTGTACAACCACGTGGCGAGTAATTACCTCTCGAATCTTTGTCACTTAATGACTGCTAAAGAGATTTTACTTAACCACGGATTACAAGTACAGTCTTTTATATATACGTTATTATATAATAGGTACACGTTGGCAAGGGATGGAGCGAGGCCGGCTTAAATGGAGATTAGCTGGGCTCGCGAGCCTTCAGTCATCTGGTCTGTGTGCAGTACGCGCGCAGCTGCGCTCGTGCGAAGGCACGCGGAAAAACACATTGGCGTAATTGACAAAGGATACGTTATACTCCTGCACTGCACCGCGCTGCTGAACATAGCTCACAATGACGGCTGCGAACTATTATTTCGTTGCAGGTGAGGCCGTTTTCCTTTGGGGGCGAAAAATTCACCTTATTAAATATACTACTCGCGCGTTGCAAGAAGTATACGGCATATAGTTGTAACCGATTGTGCGCTAGCGTTTGAGGAGACGGTCGAAAGGCTGCGAAACGCGCCTTTTAGTTACACTTTGTGAGCGAACGTTAATTTGTTCGCCCGGCAGAGAAACCTTTGAACTATGGAATATCTTGCAGGTGTAGCGGCTTTTCAAAACTCGCTCGCGCAATTCATCTCTCATACCCTCGAAGCCATAAATACGCGTATCCGTGCGCGCGCGCTGCGCTACAACACGTATTAGCCTATACACGCGCGCGCGAGCAGCTGACACGACTCTTCAATCGCAGCTAGCGCTCATTGTACATTTGCATTTTTACGATATATATACGCCGTAGGATTTTGAAACGATTTCGATGTTGGGTGATAAATATTTTTGACGTGGATAAATGTGTTATAGCTAGGCGGCATAGCCAAGCTGGCAGCCAAGCACGCGCGCGATTTATCGAATGCCATATACGGCCGCGCACCCGCGACGCTTTCAAGTTGACTCTGGGCTGCTGCTGCTGCCGCCGCGCGCGGATGTGTGATGCATTGGCTCAGGGCGCGACCGAATCGATTCTAATTTAATGTGACTCGCCGCTGCGTACAGTGCCACTGCGTCGTTGCAGCAGAGATTCCGAAAAGCTTTCGACGTTTACGATTATAAGAGTGATTTTTTTCGACCGCCGAATATGGAGGAGCGCGTGTGTATTTTCATACTTCATCGCATAAATAAAGCCCAACTGGGGGCGTACTTGATATTATATCCTCGGCGACCCACACGTGTCCACGGTAAACATCAAATTTGCCGTCCTTTTCCGCCTCTCTCTCTCTTCTCTCGTCCACTCGCAGCTTTAGCAGTTACAAAATATAGTTAGTTCAACACGGCGCTTGATGTTCAAGCCGCAAAAACAGCTTATGACTTTCAGCTGTTGTTGTCGTTAGTTTTGAACTTTTATTTTTTGGAGGAAGTCGAAAAAGTACCGACTATTAACTTTTGTAAACTTTCGTTGCTTTGGGTCATTTTCTCTGTGTATAATTTAATTTAATGTGTAAGAAAAATATTAACGCACAACGAGCCATTTTCATAAAAAAATAATCAAGCTCTTTTAATGACGTCGGATTAATTCACTCGTAAGTTTGCCTTCGTTTATTTTTTGTAAAGATTTTTTTTTTAGCAATTATTTCACAAAAATTATTCGAATTTTTACTCAAACAAAGAATTATACATTTTCCGACATTTTTTTTCGAGTACCGGCTTGTAATTAAAATATGGAAAATAAATTTTTCGACATTAACTACAAATCTTGTTTACTTTGAACTGGGCAAATTGTGCAAGGAAAGTATCGAATTATATTTAAAAAATGTAGGTTCGTAAATTTTTGAAATTTCAAGCGTTTACTTACGCTTCATTATTGAAATCAAATAAAAGCGTAACAAAAAAACATCGAAATAAAAATGAGAGATCGATAATTTTTTTCACGGTGTTTTCCACTTAGCAGTTGAGTGAGCAAAAAAAAGGAGTCATTAAAAGCGGATACTCGAAGAGTTAAATTGACTTTGTATGTATTTACTTCTGCTTAAAACGGTTCCATTACTACCTATATATATTTTACTTTATTTGTTCATAAATAAAAGTGTACGGCCTATACCCGCGAGCTCCAAACGAGTTTCACTCGAATGCAGAGGGCACGGAATATAGTCGCTAACGCATTCCGAATGAATAATTAGAGCAATTAGATTTTTAAATATAAACATATTTCTACTATATGAGTCGCTCGAAACGGTCAATCGAAAATAATTTCTGCACATTCATTGAAAAAGAAATGGACTAAACTCATTGTGAAATTATAATATCACTTTGGTCCCTTTTTATAGCTCGAGCTTTTTTTTCTTGCCACGCGTAGGTAAGCTTGCCTCCGCAACTTTGTAATTACGATTAAGCTGAATTTTTAATATTTCTCATCGGCTAAAGCTTCGATACTGTTTAGCATCGCAAGAGAGAGAGATATAGCAAGAGAGAGCCTATGAATATAGAATCCAATTAAACTTTGAGACATTAAGCTCGCTCGGCGAAGGAGTGATTAGTTATAGAAAAGTTGAGGGAAACCTATTTCGTCCATACTAACGGATTAAGCGCTCTCCTCGGCGGCCAACTTTTGCCGGCCTCGAAGACTATATCAAATTTGCGTAAGATTATTCTTCGGCCGAAGGAAAAAGATTTCGAGCGCGAGATATCGCTGATACTTTTGAAAATTCACCCCGACGTGTTTCAATCTGCGCAGACGTCTGTACGCCAAAGAGGGATCCGCGCGTCGAGGTGTTCGTATAGAAAAAAAAGTACGACGTGCATCAGAAGTTGCGATACATCTTCATTATTTACAACACTAAAAGCATTTGGATATCAATTCAACGCAGAAAAAGAGGAAGGAAATAGTGTGTACAACCATCAAAGCTCTTTCCATAATCGATATATGTTTCATTTGGCATTCCTATCTACACGTATATATAATCTACACACACACATACACACACATACTTTGCACTCACTCGCGCGCATGGATGTGCGTGCGAGTGCAACAAACACATCGGGTAATGATAACAAATGGGATATTAGAGTCTGCGAGCGGGGGCCAAGGCGCGTAATCTCTCTCACTCAAGCGCTGCAGCACTGCAGCTACTACACACTCGCTCACAGCCACACACACACGTGCATACATATACACACACACACACATATCTCGAAAGAGATGCTTCAGCTCGTCGCGCGCGTCCCCGGACCGATCCATAAATAACGAGACGAGATAAATTATATACCATTCGGATGCGGAGACAGCATAGCTATGCGTCACTGTCCGCGACTACTCTTCTCTCTCTCGCTCTCTGCGTAATAACACATAATGCTAATTGCGAGTATATATTTCGTGGTAACTAGGCGTCGCTCGGCGTCGATAGTTATCAGTTGCATCGCTATTATGTACACTGCGCATACAGTGCTTGGCACAAGGTGGGACGCCGTAGAGTTTCGATAAAAGTTTTTGCACCCGCACACGATGATGCGTGCGAAGAAAACCCTTGCTGGAATTTCGAGCCACTCAAACCATCTCGCCCTGGGCTCGGGTTGTTTTAATCCCATTTCTCAAAGTAACTTTATAATCTGCAACGCATATACTCTTTTCCCTCGTTCTTCCTGCCATCAAAAGGAAAAGAGAGATGGGGTTCGCTTATTTTGTAATGTATAAACACAAAAGCTTTTCGCCTTTGTTTTAGCGATGATCCTTTCCTACTTCATTAAGTCAAGATTTCCTGGGCTGGGCACTCCTTATTCTGACATTTACTTAACGTACACTCACGCACGAGAGTGAACGTTAAGCAAGATTTTATAACGATTTAGCAACTTTTTTCACCCCAGACAATGCGATAAATCTTGTGAAACATGTTGAATGTCAGATTTATAACTGGAAAATGTCGTAATTTATGTTGTTTATAATAATATGGATAGATACTATCATAAATATTTTTATAAATCACTAATTATGGATAGCTAATACTAAGAATTTGTACTAGTCACATAAATAACTATTGAGAACTGGCTCACAAGTTAATTTCAGGAAAAATTTATTATAAGGAATTGTACAAGATTTTCTCGCATATGTACGCAAAAATACATAAATTGTACAAAAACTATTTACATATATACAAAGATTAAATTAAGGACAAAAATTAAAAATGTTTTTTATTTTTTTTTCGTAATAATCGCAGGAAGGTCATGTTCTGGATAACCGCGTGCTATGAGATCTGCTCTCAATCTCGCACCTACAAAAAACAAAACAAAAATACATTAATTTCTAACAATTACTTACTTTTTTAATAAATTCTTAATACTTTAATGGAAATAAACACTTACATTTTTTTTTTAGGTCCTTTTGTTTCTTTTTCAATTCTAATGGCTTTTCAAACGGAAAACTATCGAATGCGTTAGCAAGCGGAGACATACACTGCAACAAAAGTTTCATTCTCCTGGCACGTGCATTACTGTCTTCACTTTCATCATCTGTTTCATTTTTGTTGCCTTCATCCTTTTCGTCATCGCTATCTTGAACAGCTAGATCATTATTATCATCATCATTTTTATTTTCATCTTCATCTTCATCTTCATCTTCATCATCACCTTCATCTCCATCTTCATCTTTATCATCACCTTCATCTCCATCTTCATCTTCATCTTCATCTTCAGTTTCATATTCATCCTCTTGAGCCAATTCTTCAAATAACACAGCTTCAGCATTTCGTCCTTCATCCTCTTCGTCATCGCTATCTTGAACAGCTAGATCATTATTATCATCATCATTTTTATTTTCATCTTCATCTTCATCTTCATCTTCATCATCACCTTCATCTCCATCTTCATCTTTATCATAACCTTCATCTCCATCTTCATCTTCATCTTCATCTTCAGTTTCATATTCATCCTCTTGAGCCAATTCTTCAAATAACACAGCTTCAGCATTTCGTCCTTCATCCTCTTCGTCATCGCTATCTTGAACAGCTAGATCATCATCATCATTATCATCATCACCTTTATTTTCATCTTCATCTTCATCTTCATCTTCATCTTCATCTTCATCTTCATCATCACCTTCATCTCCATCTTCATCTTTATCATCACCTTCATCTCCACCTTCATTTTCATCTTCATCTTCAGTTTCATATTCATCCTCTTGAGCCAATTCTTCAAATAACACATCTAAAGCATTTCGTCCTTCATCCTCTTCGACATCGCTATCTTGAACAGCCAGATCATCATCATCATCATCATCATCACCTTTATTTTCATCTTCATCTTCATCTTCATCATCACCTTCATTTTCATCTCCATCTTCATTTTCATCTTTATCTTCAACTTCATCCTCTTGAGCCAATTCTTCAAATAACAAAGCTTCAGCATCACGTCTTTCAAACTCATGCATACCGTGCTCTGATATACGCTGCTTTTTCTGAATGAAGTATGTTTATATGAATTAAATTATACAAAAAAATAATTTTTAATAATATTTAGTGAATAAATATTCCATAATTGTCCTAATAATTTTAATTACAATACTCACGATTAAAAATGGTATTTTATCATCATCATCTGAGTCTTCTGTCCAATTAGACCGTTTTTGATGACTCTGCAATGAATGCAAATGTTTAAGTAAAAAGAAAGGTGATTGATAAAAAAGTATAGTAAAAGTATTATTTTAAAATATTACAAGTATCTGTTAATTACATTAATGAGATTGTGGAATGTAATTTCAATGAGCAGAAAAATGAAAATGTAATGTAAGTCAATCAAGTGCGGTAAAACATTCTATTCAGTATATTTTGTATACCCGACATAATTATTTGAAGAAGAACTAAGGGACATTATAATTTTTTGCTTTTTTTCATTTATTTATAAGGCATTAAAGAACCACATTTTTTATTGTTGTGAGAATCCAATATATTGCTTTTTCAGTTTTGCTTTTTCAATTGAGGATTTTAGCTTTTTTTCATATAAAATTTAATATATTAATTAAAATTTATTTATTTAAACTTTAATCAAATATGCAAAAGAACAATTCCAAAACTAACTATAGTTATAGAACATTTAAATAAGTATAGTTAAATACAGATTATAATTTTCCTTTCGTGGATCATTGATAAAAGCACCAAACGTCACGAGAGGTTATACACTCTTCAATATAAAGAAAAATCCATAAACACGCTTTGAATTTACTACTATATAAAAAATTTTGATACTCACCATATTTTTAATATAAAATATTATACCACACGAGATTTATCAGTGATTGTAATATAATTGAAAATCGGTATTGGGCGTAAACACACTCTAAGCGTTGGCTTTGTCAACAATGACTGTTACGTTATATATCAATAATAAAACTGTTTTCAAGTAAATAATATTGAATTCGTCTGAAAATTAAATTCTCCCCTCTTAAGAGCCTGATAGTATCATGTAAATTAAGACACTGTGAAAAGCTTAATAGGGCTTGTGATGGCGCCTTTTTTGAAGTTTTTAATTTGAAACTAGCTAATTTACGTATAAAATATATAGTATTGCAATTAAATATATAGGTGCTGATTATGAATGCCGTATACTTTCTAGCGGCATATAATTATTTTTCACGCTCTGACCTAAAATACGCAACTTTCTCGATAACTTTAGACTTTCGTAGAAAAATATACTACTTAACGACTTTCAATGCATTTTCGAAAAAATATTGATATTTAAACAATTATCTTTTTTCAATAATATTTTGAAAAAGTCCACTGAAAATTCAAAATGTTTTAAATGATTTGAATGAGATAAAAAAAATCATTTAAAAAAGTTGAAAAAGTAAATGTAAAAGTACTCAAATTTAAAAAGTTTTTTTTTGACGCTTAGAGAAGAAACACTTGATAGATTTCTTCAATTTTTTAAAGGGGAAAGAGTTGCCGATCGTGAAATTTTTATGAAATGTATATTACATAAGTGCGAAAACGTCTAGAATCCAATCGAGACGCGCGGCCGAGCAAGCGAAGTTACATAAATATCGTCCGCAGGAGAGAAAATGAAAAGTTTACCTAACCCGATAATGAGTCGTGTTAACTCGAGGCTTAAACGAAACTTGGGCACGACGACGCGAAAACTTTGTTTCCTTCTCTTTGGTTTGCATCCATGTACATTCGCGTATATGTGTGCGCGAGCTCGGGGACAAAGCTTACGACGCGTCGCATGCTCGGCTCGACGCGTAACACTACGCAGCTTAACGTAACTTTGCGTGTAATGTATGCAACGATCGAAGATGCTAAACTGCGGTACTATATGCGTGTATGTGGACGAGCGTGTGTATGTGTGTGTGTGTGTGTATACGTGACTCGAAGTGGCCCCTCGAAGCTCGATCGTCGATGAACTGACCGGCGCGTCTCATAACATAGCTGAGCAAAACACGATAGATCGCCCGGGTCGATCAATCAAGATCATAATTATTCGGACAAAAAACAAAGCAACGCCTAGCTCGCTCTCAAGAGACAAAGTTTCAAGCGCTATGCATACACGTGCACACGTATAGTAGCTAGCGGAGCATCGTGCGCAGCGATCGCAGCAAGAGAAGGTGTGCGGGGCAAAGATATTTAACTAGACTTTGCATACTTTAGCCGCACGCGCGTGCATGCAAAACATGGCTCGCAAAGATCGGCTTAATTTGAGCGTGCGACCTAGACTGTTATATCTCCTTCCCTCTCTCGGCGCTGAAAGATATTTCGCATTGTTGACGAACGCCTGGGCTTGCTGACTGGCTGCTCCTCTCCTCCTGCTCCGAGCTTCTCTGCGGAGAACTTGGGCAAAAGTGTCAAAGCTCGGAGAGCTCGCGCGCGCGTCGAGGTATAGTTTGGCGCGCGGTAGCTTAAGTTTTCTCCTATCCTACCTACCTGCGCGTCGTCGCCTTCGTTGTCGTCGTCGTAGTCGAGTTGCACCGGTAGGTATAGTAGTATCTTCGCACGCTGCGCCTTTGTAATACGACTTTGCGCGTGCGGGTGGTCTAGCGGTACGTATATTACGTAGCCGAGAATCGACTATACGTGCCGCACGTTGGCCAACTCGTATTATACATAGATATACACATTGCACGTACATAATGCCTTGCCGATTAATTGTCTACTACAATTATGCATAGCGCCTCGGGCGAGCTCGGTGCGAGAAACGCGCCAGTGTAATAAGACGATTCCCGAGTGTTGTGATGCGTCTATTGTGCTCTCGCCGCGCTCGACTCGACTCGACTCGACTCGACTTGCCGCCCGCGCGCGCTGGGCGCAAAGGGCGTTGGCGACAGCCGAAACTTTGCGGAATTTAAGCAAGTTCGCGCGCTTTTACGCACACAGAGACTCGGAGTCGGAGTCGATGCTCGAGCTCGAAATATTTAATTATACAAGCTCGGAGTCGACGAGTAGCAGCAGCTCTCTCTCTCGCGCCCTCGCTGGTGCATATAAGCTGCGCGCAAAGAGAATAAAATGTATACCCACGCCACGGGGGATGAGCGTAAAAACAAAGGGAGGTATCGCGCGCGCGCAAGTATATTCGCGGATACTCGTACTGTGCTGTACCACTGTTGCTGCTGCTGCTGCTTTGAAAAGTCACCAAACGAAACGAGCTTTATAATGCCGTATTGTGCGCCAGTATTGTGTGTATATATGCACGGAAAGAGAGAGAGAGAGAGCGAGTGAGAGAGAGTGAGGAGGGTGGAGCCACATAGCTTCACGCTGCTACTGCTGTTGCTGGTAACTGAGTGACCTCCTGCGTATATAAGCACGGGTATAGCTGTTGCACATCGCCCATTGCACCGGATCACGCGCGCGCGCGCGAGTTTCGGGGGAATTTTTATCCCCCGTCAACTGCAACTTCATTTTGCGCGTCGCAAGCACGTTCGTATATACATTATGCATAATTAGTTGTGCTCGTCGTATACGATCGCAAGCCGTCGAAATTACATATTCCTATAGCTGTGCAAATATTATACATAGATAAAAGTCGAGCTTTCATCTAGCCGCAGATATTAATAGCTATTTCCATATACATGTACGCGCGGCTGCTGGAGCTAAAAAGAGAAGAGAGGCGATATATATAGACGAGCGCAATCGATCTATATTATTGCTGAAAATCGCTAAAACGCCTCTGGGGATACCTACTACACGCATATTGCTCGCGTGCACATGCAAGCTGTGCTCAGGGCTCGCACTCACACACACACACACACACATTTATTGCGTATCCGGCAATATATAGAGAGAATCGCGAACTCGCTCGGGCGATCGGTAGAATGCACTTTTGCCCAGCGCGTTTAATGAGATCGGGGGTGGGGCTCGGCACAGGGAAACGAATTTCAGCCCTGCAGCCATCTCGTCTCATTATGCATCATTTTACATGTATATGCGCGAGAGCGCGTCCAGTTCGCATGAGCGTATAAATATATATATATACGTGTATACGTATCGAGAGGACGAAAGAGACTGCGCGACGTTTATGCATATTATTCGTGATTAAGTGACTATAGGCTACGAGCGCGCGGGCTGCTGCACAGGCCGCCGAAAAAAAAATTTCATTAAATTTCGGAATATTATAACGCTGTAAAAAGCGAGCAAAGAGGAATGAAAAAAAAAGAGCTCGCGCTCGTCCTTGTGTGCAGCAGCAGCAGCAGCGCAGAGTACAGTGTACACGCGACGGCGTATTTATAACGAGCTTCACGCGCACACACCGCGAACGAGTATACGCGTTAGAGGCGTACGTTGGCGATTATGAATGAAACACTGCAAATTTCAGCTGACCGCAAATAAATTACTCGTCGTTCGCTCTGTCTCTCTCGTTGAACCGCTCGCGTACCGTGTCCACATACTCTGTGTGCGTGTGTGTATGTGTGTGTGTATACGCACGAGGTTTCGTATTTCTATTGAATTATATCCATCGGGCAAATTACATCGTATGCGTGTTGTACGTATACATGTATAATATAGCATCGAGCTGCCCGCGCCGTTCAGCGTACGCCGCGTATTATATAGATGAACACGCGGTGGGTGGCTGCTGCTGTTGCTCATGCCGCGCGCACGCACGAGGCTCGCAAAGAGAGAAAATCCTCACGAGCGCATGTTATACGCTCGGCAGGAGAGAGAGAGAGAGAGAGAAAGAGATAGAGGGGGAGCGTTGAATTTCAAAGGAAAAGTTTCAAACCGAGAAAAAGATAGCTTTATAAAAAAAAAGAGGCCGCACACAGCTATGTTTTCACGCTTGCGCGTGTGCGTGCGTTCGTTTTATCCCGCGCTAATGACAAACAGATTATTTATCAAATTATCCAATTAATTAGTCGCAGTTGTCGGTCGCTCGACCCCCAACGCGGGGGCGAAACTCGGTGCGAGCTGCTCGTTCCTCGTTATTGGACCGACGCGCGCGCGCGCAATTCGGCTTCAACAATTAATTAACACCAATAGTGCTTTCACAGTGGGCATGTACTCACGTTTTATAACACAACTACACTAAAGNCACGCGCGTCTACTCGTATATACGCGTATATACGCGGTCACGCGCGTATACTCGTATATACGCGTATATACGCAGTCACGCGCGTATACTCGTATATACGAGGTTACGCGCTTATACTCGTATATACGCGATTACGCGCGTATACTCGTATATACGCAGTCACGCGCGTATACTCGTATATACTCGGTTATGCGCGTATACTCGTATATACGCAGTCCCTCGCGTATACTCGTAACGTTTTTTCGCAAGATTATCTCTCCGGGTAGCTTTTTCGTAAGATTATCTGTCTGGGTTACACGATGGGTCACTAGGTATGAGTAAGTACTCGGCGATGACTTTCCTCGAGGAAGTCGACATTTTTTCGCTAGATTACCACTCTGGGTGGCTCGTTCGGGATACTAGGTATGAGTAAGTACTCGGCGATGACTTTCCTCGAGGAAGTCGACATTTTTTCGCTAGATTATCACTCTAGGTGGTACGTTCGGGATACTATACTGAGAATAAAATCTAGTAGGATTGATTACAGCGCCATAGTTGATTATACTGTAATAGTGAAGTAACTGCCGCTCGAGTAGATTTAACTATATACTTGGGTAAACTGCACGCGTGAAATATTTGTATCAATGGACGACTCTGGAAAAATGTTTTAATTCAAAATAGTTTGAAGAAATTCATCGATATGTTTTGATTCAGGACATTAACTTATTTGATATACAAATTAAGGTTAATTTTAGTTATTCGTCGTCTTTAAACGTCCAATATTCCGTGATTAAAACTTACTTGAAAAGTTTAACGCTAACTCATTCTTTGTAAAGCTGAATATGTTGAGCCTGAAGGAATTAATTATAAGCATGAAATGAAAATCCTATTTACAATGGGACCTGTCGTTGAAAGTTCAGTGATTTATTTTAGATAAGAAGTTAAACGACAAGTCATTTTTTGTAAATTCAAAAATATATTCAGCCTCAATTAAATATGAGGAAGAAACGAGAATCCTATTTACAATGGGAGTTGTCGTTGAAACTTCAGTCACTTATTTTAGATAAGAAGTTTAACGACTACTCATTCTTTGTATATCTGAATATGTTCAGAATTAAGGAATTAATTATAAGCAAGAAATGGGAATCCTATTTACAATGGGAGTTGTCGTTGCAAGTTCAAGGACTTATTTTAGATAANAACTAATAATTGCATGAAAAAGTCTCACTCATGACTCTACTTGCCCGGCCGTCTCGATCAAAAACGAGACATTCGTACTCGACAGTCGTGTTTCGATGCATACAGAATTACGGTTTATACAAGTGTTGAAAAGGGTAAATGGTATTTTTGGAACATTTAAAATAAATTTTTCAATAATATATTTTTAAGAGCATGCCAAATGCGTATGAAAATGCTGACAACCTTTTCAATTATCATAACGAATTTTTTTTATGTGTGATAAGTATAAAAATACATTGTAATGAAAAATAAGGTGTTTAGTTGTTAACATTTATAAATTCATAGAAATAAAATTTGAATTTGAATTTCACTGGAAATTCAAATGCGTAATTATAAAATAAAATTGAGCTATTCATTTATCGATATTCCATCAAATGTACAAATAGCCTTCGCTATATTAAATTGTAAAGTTCACATCGATTTCAATCGAGACGGCCGGGCAAGTAGAGTCATGAGTAAGACTTTTTCATACAATTATTAATTTTACATGATTACTATTGAATCATTCTACTGAAGCTTACTGGTTTATCGTTAGAAAAAAAATTTCAGTTTGTCTGAATAGTTGTCGGAATATATGAGATTTCATAACTATCATAGCTGAGTAATAATTCAATCGCAAATTGAGATTAAACCTTTCAGAAATGAATTGAGATTGAACCTTTCAGAAATGAGAAAAAAAAATATTTTGGAGTTGGACACAAATTACAAGGATCAGACTGTTATACTTGCACTAATCAAATCTTTTGAAAAAAAGTATTACCGCGATTTTGAATTATTTTATGTTAACCTTAGTAATCTAGCTTCAATGTCCGAAATAAACATGTTAGTTTGACTGTTCTATCGAGTATTTCAATAATTGCATTTCAGATTTTCAAAGTTTATTTTAACTATTTTAAAACTAGAAGTTTAAAATTAAACATTCGATAAAGAAAGTGATTTGAAACCTACTAGTCAAATTTGAGATGAAAAAATCGAAACTTTTGATTCGTCATGCCAAAGTATAGTTATCATTCGAAAAAAATTATGATTATTAGCATTATGGATACTTGGACTTTATTTCAAAATTTCGAGAGCTACGCAAGAGCCTTCTAATTCCCTCAGGTCACTAAAGGTTCGAATTTACACCTAGTGACCCATCGCGTAACCCAGACAGATAATCTTACGAAAAAGCATCGACTTCCGCGAGGAAAGTTATCGCCGAGTACTTACTCATACCTAGTATCACGAACGAGCAACCCAGAGTGGTAACCTAGCGAAAAAATGTCGACTTCCTCGAGGAAAGTCATCGCCGAGTACTTACTCATACCTAGTATCCCGAACGAGCCACCCAGAGTGGTAATCTAGCGAAAAAATGTCGACTTCCTCGAGGAAAGTCATCGCCGAGTACTTACTCATACCTAGTGACCCATCGTGTAACCCAGACAGATAATCTTACGAAAAAGCATCGACTTCCTCGAAGAAAGTCATCGCCGAGTACGTACTCATACCTAGTGACCCATCGTGTAACCCAGACAGATAATCTTACGAAAAAGCATCGACTTCCTCGAAGAAAGTCATCGCCGAGTACGTACTCATAGCTAGTGCCCCATCGTGTCACCCGGAGTGATAATCTAGCGAAAAAATGTCGACTCCCTCGGGGAAAGTCATCGCCGAGTACTTACTCATACCTAGTATCCCGAACGAGCCACCCAGAGTGGTAATCTAGCGAAAAAATGTCGACTTCCTCGGGGAAAGTCATCGCCGATGACGTACTCATACCTAGTGCCCCATCGTGTC